GCCGACGAACGCCAAAACCTCGATCCTCTGACAGTGGCCGGCCGCCATGTTTAATGTGCGCGGAGGAGTTGCGCAATGGCGAAATTGAGCATTGCACTTTTTACAGGTCTGGGCATAGNAATAGCGAAATTTGGCATTCCACTTTTTAGAGGTGTAGGCTTCATAATATGCCCTAATAAAGTCTGATTACTTGATAAAATCACTGCCTGCCATCAATATTAACTGATTATTGCACTATTAATACTAATTTCCCGGGTTTAATGCCCTTTCTCACAGAAAATCCGCAGACAAACGCCAAATCCTCCATTCTCTGCCAGTGGTCAGCCGCCATGATGAATGTGTTGTGTGAGTTGCGCAATGGCGAAATATACCATTGCACTTTTTACAGGTCTGGACTTAATACTATGCACTAATAAAGTCTGATTTCTTGATAAAATCATTCCCGGCACTCAATATTAACTGATTATTGCACGATTAATAAGTATTTTCCCGGTTTAATCCCTTTTCTCACCGAAAATCTGCCGACGAACGCCAAAACCTCGATCCTCTGACAGTGGCCGGCCGCCATGATAAATGTGCACGGAGGAGTTGCGCAGTTGTAATATTTTGAATATGGTACTCTCTTTTATAAATATCGATATACATATATACGTCTAGAATTTATGGTAATAATATACGATAATAAACTCTGATTTATTAATTGTCATTTTTTTATTTTTTTTTCCATTTTGAAGGAATTTTTACAGACTTGAAAATGAGTTGTGATACATTTAAATGGTTTCGTTAAGTCATCAGATATTTAATATTGATTGCTATAGTTCATTTTACCTGGCCACCCGTCTTGCAAATCTCGACCAATTTTTTCTTTCTCAGGCTCAGGAGACCTACGTAGGTTCCAACTACTGCACTTTCATCACTCACCTGCTTCCCACGGTGAACGCACAATACGGATGTGCGATCCTCGTAGTCATGGAAATCAATGATTGATCCATCAACCAATCGCTAGGCGAATAAAAAGTTAACAATGAAAACGATCATTCATTGTCAATCAACTTAATGAAAAAGTCTGCATAAAGAAATACTGAATCAACATTCACTTGGCGAACAAAATTGATTATGGCGAAAGTCGATTATCATAAATATATATTTCATATGACAGATATTTTCCAATACAGTATATAGTGTACAGTAATATCTGAAACGACTCGTTTCGGAGAATTCAAAATTATGCATGCAAAGAAAGAACACGTCAATTATGCCATTTCCCCACAGAAATAGGTTTTGCATTTCGCCTGCCCTGAGAAGATACAGAAAACTCCTCAAACTTGATGTTTTCTACAAAGGTTGCAATTTAATTCAAATTTTTCCGTATGTCGCCTCATCGATCCTGCATAAGTAACACATTTATGACTTGGCTTTGAATCGCTTCACTTTCAACAATACAGGATTTATAGCTTTTATTAGATTAGCAATTTCATCAGTTTCAGTTTCTTCGACATTTTGGCCACTCAATGAGATAACTATATCACCTATTTCCAATTTCCCTGATTCCGCTGCACTGCATCCTGTCAACTGTAATAAACAAATTTGTGTAATTTTGTGTAATTTTGATATCGAAAGGATATCAAAATAATATGGATTTGAGTAGCTGATAAATAAAGCTTGCGGTCCATCTTAGCTCTCAGCATTCAAATATGAAATAATAGATAGATATATCTAACCTAGGGAGGTAATATGAAGGAGCTGTGCCGAAAGGCGGAATTACGTGCAGCTGTGTGAAAATAAATGTTTTCTCTCCCTGATGGCATAGGTAGTCATGATGGCATAGGTAGTTAGGGCTGCGTTAAGCATACGTAAAGCGCTGCCTTATCACCGGAATGACAAAAACATGAAAACATTCCTCACTTGGTGCACAATATTTCCTTACTACAACTAATGAATTTGCGTATTTTACCAATTCTGATATATAAGCTCCTTTTCCACATTTGAAAGCTGTTAAACCAAGACCAATGCCTTTCATAGGTTTTCGGTGAAGTTCCACTTCCACTTCTTCCGTGGAATGATCATCTTGTAAAATGCTCATTTTAATCTGTAAGAAAAAGAATCTATATACAGGCTGTCCCAAAAGTGTAGGTTGAGGGTTGAATTCTGTATCGAAAACTCCAATCAAGTTTTCCAATCCGTAGCTTCATTCAAAAGATAATAATAAATGAAGTTTGGTTAATCACGCCCCCGTAAATCGCTGCTTTACGGCCGGAATGACGAAGAATGACGAAAATTCATGGCCGCGAATGGACAATATTGTCACAACTCTCAAATCCAGAAAAAATCCATTGAGTAGATATATTAAAGTTTTTTTTGGAAATTATTGAAGAGCCCGATGTCTATTATTATTAAGTATTCTGAGAACTATGGTGGATATGCTACCGAATGGGTTCATTATACAGTAACTTATCCTTACTGGTCCCGAAGCAGTGAGAATTGTAGTTGCTGCTTTCTCATGTTCAATTGCTTTGAAATTTTCTTGACAAAATTCTAGTATTTGATCCCCTCGTTTCAGTTGACCTGTCTTCTCTGCTAGGCCATCTGGATATATATCCAAAATGAAAACACCACCCTGAAAATAGGTATAGCATCAGTGTTTTTCCGTGTACTGCAGAATTCTATCAATGGTATCTTTTTTACTTTACTAGATTGTTTTTTTTTAGATATCCAGATTACGTGAGACATTAATGTCCATTAATCCCATGTGCAGTGCAATAAATTGAGAAATTGAGAAATTGCAATGATGAATGTATGGGATTTTGGAATAAGATTGTAGTGGCAAATTTTCAAAATTTTTCAGAATGGTAATAGCTCATAACAAATAATGAAACATAAAGCACTCAATGAAATCTCCGTCTTGAGTTTCATTTTGAAAGAATCTTACAACTCAAAGTATACGAAATCTGATCAAGATTATCTGAGTATATATATACTCAGACCCGTTTTCAATGAATGTCTCGAAATCTTAAGTGAGATAGCAAAATTTTATAACCTTTTTTGTAGAGCCGATTGAGAGCTAGAACAAATGTAATTACGAAAATTTTGCCATCTCCCTTGGATTCCGAAATATTCTCCACAAACTCAACTGGCAGATAAATCGACGTAAACCGTTTTATCACTTGGCTACTGATATATCTGATGTATAACTCCAATGCCACCAGAGTACAACGTTTTTACATTTGTGGTTTTGATGCATTTTTGTTATTTGTATTATTATAACATGTAAAATTTAGGACGTACCATAAGACAGTATTATTATAAACTTACGCATGATGTGTCACTTCCTCCTGTAATGATAAGGCCAAGTGGACTTTCTTTAGTCTTGGTTATTTCTACTGTTATGGGTTTGCCTTTAATTGTCTTGACATTTTTAGGGTCGGTTGTCCCCTCAGATGTTTTCACTTCAGCCGATTGCTGCGTTTGACCTGGAAAGAAATAAACATTATTAACATAGTGATTTAGCAATTCTGAAATTTTTCTAATCGATATTATATACTGAAAGAATAGAAGGAAATCATGGGAGTCAGCAAAATATACGAAATTCCCTAGCAGATGGCGATTTAATAGGGAGTTGAATTGTTCACTCGGTCGATGGTCAATTATTAGTCGATAGATGGATGGTCAATCAATTGACCATAGTGATCGACCGAGTCAACAACTCATCTCCGTGTATGGACTTTTGTATCAGTCCTTTCCCTGACTTATTTCTCCAATCGGCTAACTTACCAACAGAGGTTTCAGTTGTTGCTGCACCCGTTGATGCTTTCGAGGGCTCATTACGGTCAGATTGGTCTTTCTGCTTGTTTTGATTTGGATTACATACAGTGACAGTGACCATTCCTTCCACACGTTTCAACACAGCAGTAGCCTGCGAAATGACAGAATAATAAATGCTAGTGAAAGGAAAAAAAAAAACAAAAAACAAAAAATGTCAATAAATAAAGTCTAAATAATGAAAGTTTGTGTAAAATGACAAAATCGTGATGGATAAGAATAATCAAACTGATGATTTGACAAAATGATTGAATTTTACCTGATCATATGTAGAACCCAGCAAACTATCTGAATTGACGCCCAGAATCATATCCCCCAGTAGAAGACCACCCTGTTGAAGCAATAGTGCATGTTGAGAATAACAAAATTTTCCTTTTGATAATAGGCGATTTGAAAGAGAGCTCGAGCGTTCTTCTTGTCTTGAAATAAAATGAAATAGTGATGAATCAATTGAATTAATTAACATCTTACTCTTTCTGCCACGCTTCCTTCTTGAATGTCGGAAATGAAAATCCCTTGACCAACTTGTGCATGCTTGCCTTCAACAATCATTATGCCTAAGCCGTATAATCCCTGGAATTAATAGAAAAATATTCTTCTTACTCGACCTTATAAATATAGAATTCATTCATTGTATAAAATACCTTTTTTAAAGACACTGTCCGCACTCCTTCGAATCCGCTATAACGGTCCTGTAGATAAGAATTACTGCATGAGTAGATGATAGTTATTAGATTCGCATAATCGTATATGAATTATCGATCAATAAATTCACTTACACTCTCGTCGAAGGCGGCGGGGAAATGAATGGGAATCTTCACTGCTAGTTCATTGATTTCAGGGCTATTCCTTATATTTTAATGAAATACAAAGATTATGGATTATTATTTATTTAAATGATAAAAAATAAAGAAAACATATGTAATACATCATATCATTGAGAGATAAAACTTACCGATGGATAATTAATTTTAGGGTTGGTCCACACATTCCTTTTATCACCACTGAAGCATTAAGGTGGCACCGGCCTTGAAGTACATGCCCATTGACCTACACGAAACCATCCTATCATCACTGAATATTCAAATCCAAGTTAACTAAATAAATCAATTATTTTTCCAATCATGATAATCAATTGATACCTCCAATATTTCATCTCCAACTTTTAAATTGCCCGCTTTATAGGCATTTCCCTTTGGATTTAAGCCACATATAAATACAGCCATCTTTGACCTATCTTTATGTCCAGACAAAGCAATACCTAAATCGCCAGTCGTTCTGTCGATTTTCTCCAAAAGTACTTGACCGCTCAATGCACGATATTTCTTCAAAATTTTCACTTAAAATGAATTATGTAATTTTTGAAAAATGACAAAATTCATTAGCTAGTTGTACTGCATGACATTTTTTCGTCACAGCATCGATATTACAGATACGATGATAATACTCACGAGCAGTATAACCGTATTCATCCTCATCTTCGGGATCTGCTGTTATTTCCCCAGCTGTTCGTTTCACGTTACCGGCACTTTTACGAGATATCTGTAGATTATTGATTCATTAGTTTCATGCAACTGTGCATGGATAGTTACAAGTCCCCAAAAAATTCAATCCCCAAAAAATATTTACCTCCATACCAGCCTTAGTATGAATGTTGCCCTCCATATAACGTTCATCTTCACTTTCAGAACTCTCATCAGTATCAGGATGCTCATCAGTATGCTTTTCTTGATCAACAGCTGCATCGATAGCAGCGACATGTTCGGTGACATTTGTTGATGGTGTCAAAGTTATATCAACTTCCGAATTGCTGGACGGTGATCTAGAGAATAACAAATTGATTGATAAAAAGAGTCATCACATAGTGTATTGATGACGGCATGTAAATTTATTTCAACCACAAATTTACCTTTTCTTCATCAAACTCTGTTGATTATTAATTTTTGCTTCAATAAGTTGACCGCAATCGGATTGCTCCTGTAATCAATTCAATCTGATTTCAATAAATCACATTAATCAATACTTATTCATTTACTGACCATAAGCGTAAGTGATTGAACGCGAAGTCGAACGATATCTTCATTTTTTTTTATTATTTCAGCTACCTTGTCACAATTACAGTTAAGTACATTAACGCCATTGACCTCGACTATGCGATCTCCAATCTGAAAAATCAGTAGAATCAAATGAAATTTTACCCAATTGTATGTATCTCTGCTGATGCATGCTTATAATTATGAGGGTAAGTATATTAAGATGCCGGCGCATATAGCGGGGAGTAGGAATACTCAAAAAGAAACCGATTAGTTGCTGTTAATAAGCAAATTCATATTATTGAATTTAGTACACCATGTTTATAATATGTCATCAACATACAAAATATCAAAAGCAACAGCCTCCAGCAATGCATTAAAAATCACATAAAATTACAAAAAAAAAATTTTATTTGCTATGGTAATTAACAAATTCATAACTCGAGATTATCGTAATGTCATTTCTAATTAATATAGTTTTTAATTTGAAATATATGTGAAAATAAATGTTTAAATAAGAGCTGTATTATGAGCTATTTTTAGAAAAACTCATAATACAGAGACTTGCTTTTTAACATTGTTTACCGTCGGTAAACAAAGTCACGGATGGTTAAAGGACCTTTCGACTCGAGTGGCGACATCGATCGTCCTGTCATATTAATTTGTTCGACAGGAACATCGACTGCCGCCATAGGTCTGCGCGTACGCCGTAAGGATTCGCTGTATTGCATGCAATTAGAAAACATGTGTTTCAGTCAATGTTTCTCTAGGAATGTGTAAACATGGAAAAGTTTGGTGGTATAATAATAAAATTGTGAAATAAATAGATTAGGGCATATTATACAGTTGGTGAATAATTTCCGGAACGAATAGACATATTCATTAATAAAACAAGGTAAATGTGTTATGACATATTTAAAATCAAATTCAAATGAAACAAAAACTATAATAATAATAATAATAATAATAATATATCAATGTTGAGTCTTCTTTTTTAACTAGACTAGAATCTGTTGCAATGTTCGTTTCCATTCCATTTATCATTGATAAATAATGCAATATGTTTGACATGACTCACTTGTCTCAATTCTCGCAATGTATATCTGTTTTATCGAGGAATCATTGGATTTTTACCTTCAAATTGCAATTATTGGAGACAGATGCATCAGGATCAATGGATTTGATGAATACTCCTGAACTTTTCTGTTCACCCGTATTTATCTCGTCAGTTGGTGCATCAATCTACAATTGTTATTCATACACATGAAATTAATCGAAATAATTGTTGATAATAGACCCTCTATTTGACATTTATAATTAAATAAATAAATAATTGACAGATTGTTGCCAATAAAAATGTTTTGACATGTTCTTGCTAATGAAACTTGAGTGAATTTATTGCAAACAATGCTTTTTTTCTCTATTAACTTATTCATGGAAAAATGACTAGTCGAAGATTGTTTGTGAAAAAAAATAGTCCAATGATTCTTTTCATACATAAAGCACTATAGACAGACCTTCCCACCAATTATACTGAAGCCTAGGTTTATGTTACATCCTCTCTGAATTTCAACAATTCTATCCAAACCCCATTTTTTTGGCTGATTGATGTTCACCTCAACTTCTTGTGTGACAGTCATGATGAATCTGAAATATTCAATTGAACAAAGAGCCTGAATACTTCGTTAACGTTACTTCAACAGGAATAATTTTCACCAAGAAATAGATCAAGCATTTGCCCGGAAAACAATGTTTTTAAGTTATATTCGTACCTAATTCACAACAGGAACGTGTTTTGATAAATCGCTTTGACTCACTATTGTAACTCCACTGCGTTACCTATATATATATATATATAGGAAACCTTTCAAGCGCGGAGAGTGTGTAAAACCCAAGTGAAATAATAATGATCCGTGTGTTTTTCACTGCAAAATTGCCTTAAAGAAAGTAAATGATAATGGTAACGCAAATACACATTGGTTTTTTTTTTCAATATTAAAGATTTTGATATACAGACGCGCTAGGATTCGCGGTCAAATTTTTCCATACGTACAATCCGTGAATCATTGCTAATTGAAGAGAAAAGAAAAAAATTTTTATTCAACTTTTTCTTACTCCAAGACAATCTCAACTACCACGGTTGTTAATTAATGTTGGACACTCTTAACAAACTGAATGTTCCACAACTGATTTTAGACATTTACTAATTGCATCCGGAACTCGAAATTTGACACTTGCTCAAGTGACACGTCGGTAACATAGTTTATCTTCATACATACTCATTGGATAAAATATACTTCGGAATAAATACTGTAAACTTAAATATGCTCCAATTATTTTTAATATTTCTTTTAATATTGAAATAATAGAGGTATAGCTCTGGTATTGTACGTAAAACTGTGCATTATTCGTTTGATTCTATATTTTATCTGATGAGCGCATATGATAACTTATTTTATCGAGGTATAATTTTTAATTGTGTAATTCATATCGCTAATGTGTTTATTAAATCTATTCATGCATGAATATAGCCACTCAATGATATTGATATTGTAGTAGCACTGCATGTCGATACTTCAGACATTTTTTAATGCATATTGATGCATAGAGGGTAATTGTGAAATTTCTTTTACCGAGTGCAAATGAAACCGATGACTTGCGCATATCTCACCATAAAACTGATGTACTAAAATCCAAGAACCAAGAATAGCTGATGAATGACGATCAATATTTCAATTACCTTTCTTCTACCGTCTAAAGATGGTTTGGAACCAGGGGANCGTGCTAGGGCCTCTAAAGATGGTTTTGAACCAGGGGAGACTCCTAGACCCCACTGGACAATGTTGTCACAATTGCGCTTTTCAATTGAAAACAGACATCATCTTTAGAGACAATTGTCATCTTTAAAGACTTCTGCACGCCATTTTTCGAGCCGCTCTTTCATTTGACCCAAAAAAAAACATGACCGTGACTATTCGCACCATTGCGTTGGTCACTCCCGTACACTCCATACACTCCACGCATGCGTGAAGTTTGTGTGTTTCACGCAGCCGAATTTTCATACTGCTGTGTATTTCACGCAGTTGAAGTTTCATACTACTGTGTGTTTCACGCAGTTGAATTTTT